TGAGCGCTCCCCTGAACAGAGGCTGCTCAGGAACTGGGCGGGGGAGCGCTCATAGCCTGGTTCCTGCACAGCTGGATGAACGCTTTCTCTGATCCTTCCTACAGCTGCGGAGGAACCAGGCAGTGAACTGGTGTATAAAAAAACTTTTGTATACCCGCACCCAAGTATACCCTGCGGGGGGGGGTGTGTGTGTGTGCGTGCGCGCACACACACACACACACACGCGGGGTTTCTAAAAATTAATATAACCCACAGGTTATATTTGCTAAAATACGGTACTCTATTTACACACTAAAGAAACTACTAGCTAAGCAAAGCAAGCCAAGCATTCCAGCAACCATCATGAGCGGAAAGAAGGAACTGAAGGGGGAAGAGGGCCAGCAGCGGGTTATATGCATGGATATACTGGTGCCACTCCAGGAGGCTCCCTGGCTGGCTCAGTGGGTGCTGCTAAGGGCAAAAAGCTTCTGGAACTTGTGCATAGGGCTCACACGCACCTAGACGGAATGGACATAAGCAAGCACTCGAAGAAAAAATATCATGTAACTGAAATGAAGTTCAGGTACTAGAATTGGTTAGTGAAACTTTGTTTAAAAAAGTTTACATAACACTGGAACTCTCCAAAGTAGTAGTCACTTTCAGCTGAGCACCAACGAATTCATAGCTGGAAACCAGACCAGCTCACCTGTTCAAGATAGGTGCTACACTTACACATCCTTGTAAGTCTCTATAAAATGCTTTTATGCGCTGTATGCATTAATCTTCATTTTAACAGCTGTATCACATGCTATACGATAATATGTAAATTTTGAACTATAACTGTGAAAATGTCTGCTCTGAATTTGTGACCTCAGATAGGAGGAATGATTCCCCTGCCCATCAAGGAGTACTATCAAAGCTAAGTTGTCACAGTGAAACATCATTTGATTGGGCTAATAGACCCTCAAAGAGGTTTGTCCCACCAACGTTAATTCTGGAAGGAGGAAATAAAGAACATTTTTTACCTCTTTGCTATTTAGACTCTCACAGGGATGGAGCTAGGAAACAAAATCAGAAATCCCCAGAGTCAACCTGGTTTAGCCCCAAAAGACATTTTTTGCTGACAGATTACTACAACCCTTTTGGAACTACAGACTACAACTCATATGTGTATATGTTTCTTGATTGAACCTGTAACTAATGCTCATTTTTTCCTCCTAGTTACTGAATCCTTTGTTAATTTATTACAGGACTGGCTACAAGCATTAGCTTTGGTGTGAGGTCCGAGGTACAAATTTATCTGGGGTAAATGAATGGTTTCTTTGGACTGGGATCAACCTTAATCTTTTTTTATATTTGGAACCAAGTGACCATTTACCACTAAATTCAGCTTGCCAGAGTTGCAAGGGACCATGGGGACAGTCTGTGATTATTGTAAGATTTAGTGCTTCAGGAGTACATATTTGTTACTGGGACAGTGAAATCTAATTACAGAACACATATACTTATGCTTGGAGTATCTGCCCTGCTTTTTGATCACCTGCCATGAGGTTGGCACTCACAGTGCCATTTCACACAGTGTGACAGTGCAGATTAGTACCCGTGGTTGCAGAAAATAAACAGTTCTTTTACATTACATAGACCATGCAATTCATTTCTCAAAATTTAATGACTTCTCCCATGTCCTGCTCAAGATGCAAAAGGATTTAAATATTATACTTACTGTCAGGCTCTTTTAGTGAAGGTGCTCCAGCAAGGGAGCTTAGCCCACTCCTTAAGGGGGGTGCCTCAGAAAGAGATGCAAGGCTTCCTTGTTGTTTGCTGGACTCGGTTTTCCTAAAAAGGGAAACTATTTTTAACTAGATATGAGACTCTTACCATCTATTAAACATGTATGCAACTAGAAACAATATTATATGCAGCAAAAGATCAGGTGAAGGAACTATTCACTTTACAATCTAAAAAAAAGGCAAAAAAGTTTCTACTGGAAGCATCAAGCAAGACAGGCAATAAGAAATTTATGTTCTCACCTATTCACAGATTTCTGCCTGCCTTGTATCACAAACAGATCTCCTACATCATCTTCGGTATCACTATTTTTATCAGGGGGCCTGTTTTATTATCCCCACATATACCAGGTAGCCAAGAAGAAAAAAAATTCAGGCATAAATACAATCAACTAGTTCCTGCTTTTGAATTATGATCAGTTTTGTTCAACAAAACTAATAATAGTCATGTTGCAAAAAGAATGCCGCTTGAGACTGCAGCAAAATTAATTTATTTCATTGCCACAAACTGGTTTAGCTGCCATTAAATTTAGGAATGAAATATACATTAAACACATTATTTACAAATAAAAGATGCAATAATCACAGTCAAAGTTTAATTTAACCATTCCCAGATAACATCTTCAGTCACCAAGTTGACTGGTTTCACGTAATGTATTTTATTCTCATCTAATGAAGTGATGATCTATGAGCAGAATCTGATTTTGCATTAAGTTTTATGGTTTTGGTGAGTTTAATGTATATTTAGCCAAATTTATGAGGACATTATAACACTTATAATGGCTCCAAGTTACATGTATATACACATGAAATTTGATCCACTAAAGAGGAAGATTACAATGATTATTTCTCTGCACGTAAAATAAATCCCCAAATCTGTATAACTTCACTAATTAGCATTTTGCCAATTCATTTACCAAAATTTGCACACACAAAGTTGCCTTACCACAAAATTGCTATCAATATCTGCATGTGACTTAAAGCAAATTAAGATACACAACTCTAAAAAGCTATGTAAAATGGATATGGAAATAGCTCTTTAACCAAATCCATGTCATTAGACAAACCTTGTTTCTTTTCTGCATGTAGATTTTTTCTGTATAAGGCAATTCAGTTTTGCTATGTAACTAAGGCTTCTTTTCTTTCAAGCATTTTCAGGTGGCAATTATAAATAATTATTACCATGCAAGTCAGTGGTCTTTCCTATTTTTATATACTAATATAATATTGCAATAGTAAAATTCCTGAACATTGTTCTTATTGCATTTCCTTAGGTTTACAAATACAAGTTAGTTGTACTATTTGCTAACTATTGTACAATACCATTTCTTTTTCTATTTTGAACTAGAAAATTACAAAAACAGGTTATTAGCCATTGAATTTGCACTCATAACTATATATTTACCTTTCAAGAATGCTAATTAATACAGACAGACTGGATGTGTTAGTCTCACTTATGAGCAATGATGTCAGTTAAAAGCCAAGGTAATCCTTCATTGTCTCGTATTCAATGATTGGAAGAACAAATTACTTTAATAAAGTTTTGTTTAAACCTTTTAAAGCTGTCAGTTTAAAGATCATGTTAGGTTTCTCTGACACTGGTATTCTCACCTATTGTTTTATCCCAATGTATGACATCATAATCAACTGACTCTACAAATGAAAAGCAATACAACAATCAGTTAGTACTTTTAGCTACTAAATAAGTATCTTTAATTTGCTCCTGTTATTTCAATCATAATGTGTCTACTGATAAAATTGTCTTGTGCCACACCACAGAGCCAATGTAAGAGGGCTTAGACCAGTGGTTTTCAACCCAAGGTATGTGTACACCTAGGGGTATGCAGAGGTCTTGAACATTAACTCATCTAGACATTTTTACAACAGACTACATAAAAAAGGACTAGTGAAGTCAGGACAAAAAGAATGTAATACAATTACTTATTTATACCACTCTGTATATTATGCCCTGAAATGTAAGCACAATTTTATATTCCAATTAACGTATTTTATAATTATATGGTAAAACTGAGAGTCAGCAATTTTTAAATATTTTTATACCTGATTTTGTAAGCAAGCAATTTTGAAATGAGATTAAACTTTGGGGCATGCAAGACAATCAAACTTCTAGAAGTAATATAGTAGTCTGGCTTAGACCACCACCCTCAAAACTGACATATCCCTGAAGAACAATTACCCTACTAAAAACAAATCAGCTTGGATTCCCTGGGTAATAAAACATGAACACTGATTTGTACAAAGGGTGCTCTTCCATGAGCAAGAGTCTTTCCTAATACACCAGCTTCATACAGTGTAGGTATGTCTGCATGAACTAACAATATTTTCTTAACTACTCCAGTACTGTGGGTTAGATGCTGCCAGTCTTTACTGAGTTATGCAGAGAAATAAAGATTCTCCCCTCCTACTTAATGCAGCTATTTCAAGGTTAGCTATAGTAGCATCTTCAGGACTTATGGCATCAGATGGTTTGGAAAGAACAGGGGTTCGAAGAGCCACAGCTCCACCTGCCCTTCTCCAATCCCACAAGCCAAAGTAGTTTGCTTGGCATTAGAAGGGGGAATATGCTATATCCCCAAAAGTGTCAAAATTACTCACCAGTGCAACAAGGTAGCTCCAGAAGGCACTGTGCATTTCAAGCAGGATATTTTACAGTGCACCTACACAATGCCTTTTGCAAGAGGCCATGTGCAAATAGTCCATCTAAACCAAACAATATGCATAAAACAAGTGTTAGAGAGTGCAGTTTACTTACCATCCATAGCTTCTCTCCGGTTTGGGTATAGGATCATCAAAAAAAGAATCTCCCTCTGTGTCATCCTCATCTATAGCTGGATCACTTTTTTCTTTGGTATTTAAGCCTTTGTTGTGTGATTGAGAAACTAGCGTTGTCTCATTGGGAAGAAAGTGAATGCTGCTTTTGTTCTTTGTTTCTCCTGATGAGATACTTGTATCACTTCGACTGGTTTCAGCAACCTTTAAAAAAAATAATCACATTTACAGAGAGGAAAATGCCTTTCTTTGAGTGGAGCCACAGAAGTAATTTCTCAACTGATCTGCAGTCCAGGTGTCAATAAAGAATCATCAGGAACATACACTATCCAAGTTATCTATTGTAATCTATTTTTCAAATTAAAATTTCAATTTTTGTACCCATATAACTTTATCAGTGAGAAATTTCCCACTTCAAAGCCACCTAAAGAGCTCTTTAAAAAAAAGATCACATCTCCTTTGTAGGGCTTTACAATATAGACCATCTCAAAAAGCAAAGTCAAATGAATAAAAAAAATATTTGAATGCAGAAAAATGTACTTAGTAAAAATTACTTTGTGTAGGCAGTTTAGTTGCTAACTATGCATGTTTCAGTCTCACTTCTACCTAGAATTTCCTATTTTTTTAGTTTGATTTTGTAACCTTGGGAACAGTTTACAGATGATTTCAAAATACAGAGACTGAGATATTAAGTATGGGGGCTCTGTAGCTGGATTATTTATGGGACAGAGCCAATAAATTGCAAACCTGGTTCCAAGACTAACTTGCACAGCCATAATCATGGTACTTAAATTTTCTCTATTATATGCCAAGCTACAGTGTATAAGAGAGGCATTCAATATTTACTTAACATAGGGGTGTTACAAAATAAATGTTTGTAAATGAGAAGGTGGATGAAGTATTTTTTTATTGTACCAATTTCTGTTGGTCAAAGAGAGGAGCTTTTGAGTTCCACAGAACTGAAGAAGAGCCCTGTGGAGCTTGAAATTTTGTCCCTTGCACCAACAGAAATTGGTCCAATAAAAGGTATTAGCTCACCTACTTTGTCTCTCCCCTATTCTGGGACCTGCATGGCTACTACAGCACTGCAAATAAAATATCAGTGCAAAGTATGTGTGTGCAGAACTATGTAAAGTGATTATGCTAATATGACATTTCATGTTTCCTTGTGATTTCCATGATCACGTGCTCATTTTTCTAAGCAAAATGTTATTTATTCTAATTGCCGGGGTTCACAAAGTCAACATAAATTGTGAATTAAGCTATGTTCCTTTCTTCTTATGCAACACCACAAGCAGTTAACGCCAAACTGTGATCTTAGTGACAACTGTACAAAGGGGTGTTGAAAGGTATAGATGGTTGGCACTTAAGTAGTTTGAAGATGCACCAGAAAGAATGAAATACTGTTTTACTCACTCTTAGTTGCACTGGCTCTTACCAGCTGAACAGTAATAAAAATGTATTTGCAATATTCAGTATAACACACACTGAACACATAGAAGACAGAAATCCATTGAGTAAGAAAGTTCTATCGTTAGACAGGGAATAAACATGTTAGCATATATCTGCAAAAATGACAAGTCCTAAGGCACCTTAGACAATCAGACTGGTGGAGAAAATTTCATTTTGTGGAAATTCCCTCCCTCGTTTGGGACAAAACCTCAAACTGTATCAGTTTTCTGCCAAAGAAACTGAAGCCCCATCTTCAGGGGAAATCTACATGATGGGTTGCCCCAGAAACCCTACAAACCTAGTCTGTAAAGGAGCTAAGTGAACAAGTCAGGCACATTTTTTGCTAGATCGCAAAAGAAATTAATCAAAATGGAACCATGCCATGCAACTTAGAAGGAACACTGGTCACAATCCTCAAGTTGAGAAATATTGATCTAGATGAGTTGACATATCCTCTAGAAGATCTGTGAACTCCTGATTTAGTGGAATGTTGTACATCCATTTTACAATTCAAATATTGTTATAATCTTAATGTACAGAGCAATTCCCATGCCATAACAACTTTTCATAAATTTTATTACTGAATTGAAAACTCATTCATTTTACATGTACTTAGGAGGCAAGTCAACTAACATATATGGGGCTTTAGCATTTGTATCATTCTTTCCCTGACACTTTCTCTCCCCAAAATTAAACACCCTACAAGGTTTGACATTTAAAATATGGACAAAGAGTGGTATGGCTCCTTGAAGCACATTACAAGGCAAAGGAGTACATTTTAAAAAAAAAGTTAAAGAAATACACTTCAGTGGGCTAGCAAAACACTTTATGTTGTACAGCAATATTACTGTTTCAGAGGGGTAGCCATGCTAATCTGTTTCAGCAAAAACAATGAAGCTTCTTAAAGACTAATTTATTTGGGCATAAGCTTGCATCTGATAAAATGGGTTCTAGCCCATGAAAGCTTATGCCCAAATAAATTAGTCTTTAAGATGCCACAAGACTCCTCATTGTTTCAGCAATATTACTAGAACTGAAGTTAACATTTCTAATTAATTTCCTTTTTAAAGGGATTGTAAAATTATTAGAAATCTCAGCCAGACAGACAAGGTTGCAAAGCTTGAGAATTTTTTTCTAAATTAAAACTCAACTAGCTAATACTTTTATACAAAGCGAATTCTTAAAGTTTAGTTGTTCAAGAGACTGTACACAAGCCTCCTGACTGAAAGTACATTAAAATAAAATCAAATTTGGCAATTAATCTATTTATATACGCTATCACTTGTGATGCAAACACAAACACAAGAGTAAAGGTAATAAATCCTGAAAGGTGGCTGTGTAAATTTTTTCAGAAAGGTCAAATACACAGCAGCGACTATCTTTGTAGTCCTGCACCATACAAAATAAAGTTTTACACAGTTTAAAAAAAAAACAACCCTGTAATTTCCTTACCAAAATTGAGTGGTACTTTAACCTACAATCATTCCCAGTTTTAATGAGAAAATGCAAAGACAAGTACTAAACATACATAACAGTAGAAGAATCTGGCCATCATTTAAAGACAAGACACAAAATTAATGCAATATGCATACGCAACACGAGGAAAGGGAGAGGAGGAGTGAGCATGACAGTAAAAGCACATACATAAGGATTCCAAATACAAAAATCTGTTTAAAAATTAAATGAAATGTATCCCCACTTGCTTTTTATCCACCCAATATCACCTGGTGATGTCTCGTAAACAACAAGGTAAAAGTGGAACTTAGGGGAAAGATATGAAAGAGAAAGTTAATGGCTTCACCGATTAGTTTTGGGAAGAAGATGTGCCAAATTAATGAAAACTTAAGGAAAAAAAATAGTAGAAATTCAAACTTGAAGTTGACATTTTACACTTAACTCATGCAGTTGTCATTCCTTCCACACCATCAACAGCATTAGTTAATGATGTGCCCAACAAAAAGCTTAATTTATTATCAATTAATTTTAAGGGGCTGTGCCCCCTGCTTGCTACACTCGCCAATCCCCCTTCCCCCACTGGGGATAGATGTCTAGCCAAGAGAGGGTGCAGAAGCAGGCTGTGGGTAGATGTCTGGCCAGGGGGGGAAGAGGCAGGAGAAGGCTGGGGGTGCAGGGTCTCAGTGGAAGGGATGAGCGAGGGGGCTGGGGAGCAGGAAGTAGGGAGGCCGCAAGGCTCCTGCCCTCCCAGAGCACCGGGGAGGGAGAGAAGGCAGGGCAACTGAGGGGCATGATGACATCACTCTGTCATACTGCAGGAAAAATGAGAGAGAGGATTTATACAAACTTTTTATGTATACAATATTCTAAGTGTGGTGCTTTGGAGTGACATTTCTATACCTTTACATTATATTAATAGTTAAACTACAATAAATTTTAGTGTTCGCATTAAGTCAGTCAGTTTATTTTCTTTTTTAGTATATTCTGTTTTTTCCTAATGGAACAGTAAGAGCACCTGCTAGCATGACCTCGCATGCATTTACCTTCTCACCAGCCTTCTCCAAGCACATTTTCGGTTTACGATGTCCTTTATACCTTGGTATCTAAGCATGAGAATAAAATAATAGTACAAAGAAATGGAAAAAAAAGTCATGAAGAGTTTCAACTCCTCTAATCTGCATTTGTTATATAGCAAGTTTTTTTAAGTAATAAACATTGCAACTAAATTGTCCCATTTTCAGGGATGTTCTCTGTGACACTGGAAATTTTCACGAGCATGGTAACAACCTATCCTCATTTGGAAAAGGTAACTGGCAATTAAAATAACTGATCCTAACATCTGTCTCACGCTAATTTCTAGATCAGTGGTTTTCAAATTTCGGGTCATGATCCAGCTCTGCGTCGCAGAATGTAAAGCACTGGGTCACCTTGTTTAGGACCCAGGGATTCTGACAGTCAACTAAAGCTGAGTTGCAACCCACAATAGGGATTAAGCAACTAGTTGACTATCCGATGAGCAAAAGCTCACTGAATAGTCAAGGGACAGTCGACTAATCACTCCCCCGCCCTTGCTGCCTCCATCAGAGGCAGCAAGGTGGGGAGCAGGAGCCAATTCTGGAGGGGGAAGATGTAAAAGTGGTTCCCTCCAACACCATCTCTGTGGGGGGCAGGTGAGGCAGAGGGGTAGCAGGGACTGGACATGAGCTGGGAATCAGCTGATTCCCGTCTCTTGCCTAGTCGCAGACACGCTTCTGCTTACTAAATGGATTAAGACCCAACAGGTTGTTAACAGCTAATTTATAACCCATAATCTTGAATGTATAATTAGGATTGCATTAATCTCCATTGAATTTCATCTGTCTTTTTTGTTGCTTAATCACCAATTTTGTTAGATCCTTCTGTAACTCTCCAAATTATAGTAAAGAAATTTTACTGAACAGAAACACCACCTATTTTAGGTTATGTATAAATTAGAACAAGAAAAATTATAATTTAGTAGTGTAGGTATTAAGTGTACTGATGTATTTTAGGATTATGATTTACTGTACCCTGCCAGCCTCTCTTTCTGAAGACAGAAAAAAATGGCTTAACTGAACCATTAGCAAAGGTGCACCAGCCAGAATATATCCAATGTTTAAGTTTTAAAATTAGCATTGTGAAATAAGTAAAAGAGTATGAGGACTATTTTCTTTAAATGGTAATTTGATGTTTCTGCTTAAATATTCATATTGTGTCTATGTAACAAAGAAATCAACCCCATTGTGTGGGTGAATGAGGAACATGTGTTAGAAGGTAAGTGTGAAGGCTATTACTGGACCAGACGTTCTTGAGCAGGGGTGAACAACATTTTTTTTATGGGGAGGCTACTCAAGAATTTGGAAAGTGGTCAAGGGCTGCGCTCTTCCATATTAATGGAAGTGCTATGTTGTTTAGGGTGGAGGTTGGGTGCAGAAGGGAACTTGCAGTAAGGGTCTGGGGAGCAGGAGAGGGTGTGGGGTCTGGAAGGGCATTTGGGTGAAGGAGGCAGTTGTGACCTGGTATAGGGGACTAGAGTGCAAAGGTTTGGGTTGTGACCTTGGGCAAAAAGGGGACTGTGACCTGGGGTAGGTGATTGGGGTACAGGATCTGGGAGGAGGTTATGGGGGGCAGGGGTACAGGAGAAGGGGCAGAGTGTTTGGGTTGTGACCTAGGACAGGAGGAGGGGGCTGTAACCTGAGGAAGGGGACTGGGGTGCAGGATATGGGTGTAGGAGGAGGGGACAGAGGGTTTGGGTTATGGGGGTAAGGAGGCAAAGGACTGGGTGCCAGAGGCAGGCTCTGGCTTGGAAACTTATAGACTTGACTCCTAGCCAGCAGCCTTCACCAGCAGATGCCCTGTCTGCCCCCATGGCTGCTGGAGTCATGTGGTTTTTGAACAGCTACGAGCCTGAGAGAACGGAAAGAGGGTGCTTCCCAAGCTGCCTGTTAACAGCCAAAGCCAGCCAATGGGATTGTGCTTGGGGCAGGAGCAGTGCATGAAGGCTTACAGGTGTTCAAACAGAATCTGACTGCAGCTTCTCTAAGCAGCATGCAGGGCGCAGACAGTGAATCTGCCTGAGACTCCCTGCTGTGTCTGCGAGCTAGATCTGGCGGGGTGGCAGGACAGATCCAGCCCATGGAGGGTATTTTGCCCAGGGCCTGTTCTAGGAAGATGGCCAAGACAGACAAAGATGGAGATTACTGCATACCCCTATTGAGATACAGATGAAGTGCAGATAGGTGCTTACCTTACCTTTAAGAGTCATCAATCAATTGGGACAAGATAGCTGTTATATGAAAAGAACCAATTTCAGAAAACAAGAATTGTGAAACTTATTGATCCCAATAAAGGAAAATTGCTGTAAAAAGGGGCTGCTTTGCCACAGGTTTTTTTGATTGCATCCTGCCAAGACCAGAGCATCAGTGGGGAGTGGTGCTGTATGTGCACACTTATCCTAACTGCTTTACTATTGTATTCTTAATAAACATGGCCTACTGCCTTTTCCCCTAAAATGATTCCATGTGTTTCTTATAAGCATCACAACAGTAAGCTTTGGACTTAGTTGAGTAATATTTTTCCAAACTTCACCACCTTGCTGTTTATCCCCTTTTCTAGATCATCTTATTTTAAAAATGTGCAGGACCATTCATTGATTCCTGTAAGAGCTAGGACCACCAAGTTTGGCTGGAGTTAAGTTATGATAAGTGGAAGCTGCATACCAAAGGTATCCAAAATGATCACTGAGAAGGCTCTAAAGCCAAATTTCTGCCTGGCCATCAGTCTTTTCTTGAAGGCCAAGACAGAGCCTCAGGGAATACCAAGGAAGGTAAATAGTAGAGGAACAGGAATGCAGTTGTTCCTGGTGTGGCTGCAACACAGACACTCAGAGTTCAAAGACAAATCTATCTCTTGACTAAGGAGGAGCTGTTCCCATTGGTCCCCAGCACCAGTGTCAGAATCCAGAGACAGCAGTAATGGTGAAATCATGCCCAGTTTCCCTTTGGAGAGTAGACCCACACAAAAAGGCAGACAGGGAACTGGATGTATGGACATACCAGTTGCTGGCATGACACAGTTATAGTCAGTGTGGGTACTGGGCAAGAAGACTTCTAGATTGCTAGAAAAACTGACCCTCACTCAGCAGGTCCCACACAGCCACATAAGCTTCCAGAGTAGATAGTACCGGGATAGGCTCCTGTACTGTTGAACCAGACAAGGCAAACTCAGAGGTGCAGATGCTGATAATCCCTGCAGAGCAGATGATTACCGTGGAGCGTACCTTGGTCTCAAGTGCACTCTGTTGTTCTTGCACACATGCTTGCTAAACTTTGGTGCTGAAGGACCTTGCTCTCTCAGATATTGAGCTCTTACACTCCATCTTCTGGTTGCTCTTTCCTCAGTACCAGGGTGGGGGCCACTTCTAATTAACATCTTTAGTATGGAATACACATGTTAAATACTGGTTAATTTACTTGTCGAGTAGTCGATGGAATTTCCATCGAATACTCGATAGGCACTTCCACATTCCTCCTTTGAAATGTACAAGAGGACTATGGTACATTTAAACGGAGGAATGCAGAACTCAGCATCCAGCCTGGGGCCAAGGGGAAATCCTGCTGACTCTGGGCTCCATGAGGGTCCTTACCCTTTGAAATAAGCCCCCAGGGTCTCTTGTGCATTTCAGAGCAGAAGCACCCGCATGGAGTCCCCTGCTGACCCTGGGCTCCACGCAGCACTGCTGCTTTGAAATGCCAAGCGGAGCCAAGATCAGCTCGGGACTCCCCAGCTGATCCCGGATGCCATGGAAATCCTGCCTGAAGCCCAGGGTCCGGGCAACACCGCACAGAACCCAGGTTCAGATGTGTGGAGCTGCCCCTTTGAAGTGTCGCCACGGCATTTCAAACCAGCAGCGTTGCACAGAGCCCTTACCAGGCTCCGTTCAGCACTGTTCCTTTAAGTGCTCCCTCTTTCCGTCCCCTTTGCTGCCTCTCCGTGTGTCTCAACATTTTTTTTTTTTTATAAAGTACCCCCTTTTTCACACACACAAAAGTACCCCCGGTATCTACAGTTTTCAGACACACAATTTTTTTCTACCACTGCAACACATTTGTTTAAACAACTTAATTGTAGCTGGGCAGGTGATGACATTTTTGGGTGTAAAAATTACAAAAATAATAAAGCGCTGTAAAATTTAACAAATTCAGTTGTCTCCAGATTTCAGTTTTGTTGACGTCCCCCCCAGACTTCTCTCTAGTACCCCTGAGGGTGGACTCAGAGCTGCCTCCATGACAAGAAATTGAAGCCTGGCCTCCCTGTCAGTCTTGGTTCTTGGACTAAAATCCCTCTAAATGTGAAAACAATCCCTGGAGTGAGACTTCCCAAGAAGCTTCAAGCATAACCCAGCATCCAGCAATGGGAGCCAAAATGTTTACAGACACTTCAAAAGAAGACTCATTTCTGTAAATAGCTTAAACTACTGAAATTATTAAAACAAGTACCAACTATACATGAGGTAAAAACCCGCAACAGCAAAAAAAATAAAAGTCACACTTTTTAACAACTGTCACAGGCCATAAGAAGGACCTGAAGATGGTAGGTGGCACGTCAGCCCTTCATATCTTCGGGTGGCGGCATGTACAGTAGAGGGTGCATGTGCCATGCAAACATATCACCAAGGAAAAGTCTCTTCTGACAACTACGCACACATACCACTGCAGTGGAACTGACGTGCAGTCACTCAAAGAGTTGTGTGTGATCTACGTTTTGCTCTTTCTGCTCACCCCTTTTCAAGATTATCAAACATATTAAACATTGAATATGGCATGAAACCTGAGACATCCTGCTTGCAACATTTTCACATGAGGACATTTTTTTCCTTCCCCACTCTGGCATGATAAATGCAGAAGTGGGGGTCAGCAAGTGTACCCCAAAGCCTTATCTACCAGGCTTTGGTATAAAACTTCCCCCAAGATCTTAAAAACCTAGATCTTGGGAATAAAACTTCCGCTGCCACCACCCAAATGTTGCTAAAGAAACCAGGGGAAAGACCATTTGGGAAATCTTCCCCCTAAAACAAAAATCAGGG